CACACACACACACACACACACACACACACACAAACACACACGCACATGTACACAAACAGACGGAGGTGCAGACATAGAGACGAACAGACAGACAGACATACAGACGGACAGACTGACTCGAATACTATACACATGTAAGGCAACCACTGGATGAATTTAACCTGCAAAATGTACTGCGTTTTGATCAGCTTGCATCCTTTCAGCTGTGACGGTGGCAAGGAGGGAATCCTCAGATTCTCCTTCCAGGAGAAGCTCTTTCCCCGCGGGATCTGCTCCTTTTGCACTGTGCTCACCACCTTCTTCTCCTGTTTGAACTTCCCGCTGGCCAGGTACGTCACGTGCTGTGAACACAATCCATGTTAAAATGGTGATAATTTATTTTTAAAAAATAGAAAGATCACTTCTTTAGGCCTTTCGGTTATCGTGTTTTGAAATTTAGTTGATGCAGTATAATAATATGAATGGTTTCCGTAACTGTGGCTGAGAATAGTGAAGACTTTCACACTGAACGTTTGGCCTTCTTACGTAAGAGTTTAATCTACTGCTGCCGCTGTATACCAAAGACCTTTTCAAAGGTACACAATTTATATCATTTGCTAGAGATATCAAAAGGAAGGAAGGAAGAAAGAAGAGGGAAAAACGTGTCTATCTTAGCACAACTCATGAAAGTATGATAGGGTAGGAGAAAGAATAAGCTAAATGAATGGATAAAGAGACGAATGGAAAACCATGATATTGTGGATAGATCAATCGACATATCGATAGATAGATAGACGGAGCGGTTCGTCCATAGAGCACGGTCGTGCAGTGCCGCCCAAAATGTTTTAATGTTATTTTACGAAAAGCACCCACAAACATGAAATAAAAGACGTCCGAAATAAACACTAGCCAAATATAATATCAAAACAAGGTCCTCGCTGGCGCTGTAACTGTCATTTCTGTGTCAAAAGCGCCGTAAAACATCTACTATGCCATGCCAAAGTCCAGGCGCTTTAACTAAACGTAATAGAATATTCAACAATGGCAATCTGACCTATAAATCGCTCTTTGGGATAACCCAAGCGATGACGTCACTCGTAGCTAGTTTGGCGGTACATTGATATTAACAAGACGGCACATCTCAAATGTGCACCCACAAAACATAGCCCACAGTAGGCAGTCTAAAAATAAACGCGATAGCCTGTACACTATTCAATGCCAAAATTATGTGATCCTCGGAGCAATCCAGCGGAGTCCTCAAGTGAATTGTGATTGGTTCATTGTCTTGCCGCTATTTTAAGCGACTCTGTGACCTTGAACCTGAGGGGGGGGG